ATATATATATATATATATATATTTCTTATCTCTCAAACTCCATTTTTTAGTTTAACAAATATATACTTTCAAAAAAAGGTTTAACAAATATACTAATCTTTTATTGACGCTGCGAGTTTAATTAACCTAATCAGCACCATCATCAAGGGCTGCACCACTAGTGTTTCATGTTTTATTTTGGTTTATGAATAAACATCACAAGTTTGCTGTTGCTTCTTTTGAAGCTTGACCAAGAGGAATGAAATCTGATGTTTTTGACTGAAGGGTTATGGATCATGGTGCTAACAACTCTGAACCTGCACGAACTGGATCATTTAGTCGGACAAGCAGTCTTGGATCTTCATTAAGGAAGCGTTCTCTTAGTATATCAAGTGTTGTCTCTGTTCAAATTGATGATGGCATTCATTGTGAGACTGTTTCTGAGGCAGGAGATATTGGTGATCGGGCTCTTCAGAGCAATAGGCACAGTGTGAGTAGTAGTGTCCGCTTATCTGTTGATTGTGCAATGGAAAGTGGGGCAGTTATTCATCCAGCAGAATTAAATACAATCTCTCTTGTGTCACCTTTGCCAGAGGATATCACATTTCCTCTTCCAATTGATCCACTGAAGTGCTCTGAGGACAAAAAACAAGTAAGCTTTCAGCTAATTGTTTCTGCTTGGTGTGATTGTCAGTGATAGTTTTTTTTTTTTGAAAAGCATGATCATTTAATTTCCATAGAGGAGTTAGTTCCCCCTTTAAATTTACATCAGGGATTCATCAGGCGGGGTCAATAGGATATTGGTTAATATGCTTCCATTGAAAGCATAGGTCCCCAATATCCTTTGATTTACCACCTGTTCATCAATTTCAACCTAAAGCCTCACAACATGTCCAAAAACCACCCTACAAGAAGACAACACAAACAATTCCCCAATATCCTGATTATCAATGATAGTATTTATATCAAACCTCAATTACACTCTGATAATGCAAGTTAATTATAATTATGTGCTTCATGCTTCCTTGTGCAGGAAAAACTAGGACTACCTCTCACATTGGAGTATATATCGTGTCTTATCCATTTGGCTGTTTTTGGAATTCTTGGGGTAATATAATCAACCTTCGACTTCTTGAGTTAATTAGATTGGTGACAGGAAATTATGAAGTTGAATGGAAATTTTCCATTTTTTTTCTCATGTCTTAAATAGAATGCAATCTGCCATTCAATTTTTCTGAGAATTGTTGCTTCTTTCCTGAATTGTTCATTTGTCACTCGGCATTTGCTTCCAGATTGTGGGTGAATTGGCACAGGTTTCTGTATCAATTGGTTGAGTATTGTTATCAACAAGATTTTGATATATAATTTTTAGCCATGTCAGCAAATGGCTGCATCACAATACAATAAATATTGGTCTCCTCTGTTAATGTCAGCAATGTTACCAGCAAAACTAAATACAGTTATTTGGGTTGGATCCTGCTCTACCTTTTGATCTTTTTTGCTTTTCCATTTTGGTAAATCAACAGTCTTCAGTATATCTTTGGGATTGGAAGTTAGCATAACAGGGTTTGTTCTTGCAGCAATCTTGTGTGTGTCAGCATTATTTATATGCATACATGGAGGCACTGAGGGCTAGCAAAATGGCCAAATGGGAAAAAACAATAGCAGCCATTGCTTTATTGTACTTGTGAGGGTTAGCATTCTCAGTTTTGGTCCTTTGTTTAGTCTGAAAAGAGCCGCTGCAGTCATTCCTTGATTTTAATTTCTGATATTATGATCTTAATTTTTTAACCCTTCCTTTTATGAGAACTGCAGGTCAGGAGATAAATATGTGGATGGTATATATAGAATTTAAAGGAAACATATTATCTTTGTTGCAAATTCTAACTTTTGTTATACAAAACATAAGGAAGAATATGTTTTATTGGCAAAATTTTGGCTTTGATAATTTTGCAGGTTTTAACAAGATATTTGCTGGAAAGACTTTTTGGACCTAGTGTTGCGGGTGTGACCAGTGACCAGACCATTGTATTCCCCAACCTTCCTTCTAATATGGTCTCTCTCTCTTTCTCTTTCCACATGGATAATGTAGATGCTGAGAAAGCTGTGCATGCAAAAATACTTTCATTAGTGAGCACATATACAAATGGGTAAAAGCTTGGGCTTTATTGCAATGCCACAAGATTTGATTTGGTTCGTCTATGCTAATTGAGCAGTTTGTGCTTTGTAACATTGGCAATGATATATTGATGATATGTTAACATAGGAGCTACTCTCAGGAATGCTGCTATGAGGCGCATGCACTGGGCATGCTGCTTAAAGCTGTTTAACTTAATCAGTAGATTATGGATATTTGATTGGGAGTTATCTAAAATGATATAAAGGTAAACCAAGGAAGTTACAGTTGTGGACAACTGTTTCCAGCCATAGTTAGGAACATCTATATTTGAGATTTGGATGCCTGGGGTTTGCTTCTTGCACTCCCAGATAAACTTGCATATTCTTTGAATTTTTCTTTGTTTCACATACTATGAATATCTTCCAAGTTTTTGCTCTTTTGCAAACTGAATTGCATATACTTCCAGGTCGGTTCTTTCTTGATGGGATGGTGGGGTGTTGTTTTCAAAGGAGACATATCTCAGGTATCTGATATTTTGGCAATTGGATTGACTACTGGCTATTTGGGAAGCCTTACGACTTTCAGTGGCTGGAATCAGAAAATGCTTGATCTCAGTGTAAATGGCCTTTGGGTGCAAGCTGTGCTTGGGTTTCTCATAGGTAATGTGCTACATGTTGCTTATGAATAGCAAGGTCATTTGGTTTGCCTATCCAAAAACTAATGGGAAAGAAAAAGTCTTCTCTTGGCTCAAACAGTCTAGAAAAATTGAATCTTTTTTCTTTTTTCATTATCGTTTTTTGCAGGCTTGTTTCTTGCAGCTTACTCCATCATTTTTGGGATTGAGACAGCCAAGGGTTTCAGGTGGATTCTTAAAAGGCTGAACACAAGCACAAAAGAAGTCCCTAACATTAACAGTAATTGGAGGCTCAACAGCTGCAGACGTCAGTTGGCAGCAATGGTGGTGTTATTGTTAGTTCTAGGTGTTATATTGAGTGTGAGTGGAGCACTGCTCACAGAGGAATTTGGCAGTGGTAGCAGTGGAGCTCAGCTGTGGCTGGCTTGCTTAGTTGGACCCCTGGGAGTGTGGATCAGGTGGTTCTTAGCTCGACTTAATGGACGTGGATTAGGAAAGTCTGGGATTCTGAGATGGCTTCCATTTGGGACTTTGATTGCCAATGTTTCTGCTGCTTGTGTAATGGCAACACTGTCCACAGTGAAAAGGACGGTAAGATTTCATTGATTGGTTTCTGTCTGTACATTTTGATTCTCAATCTGCCAACCTTAGTCGTTTGCATCTGCATGCATACTCATTGGTGTAGGCTTCCATTTTAATGGCACATGGATGGCTCATTATCTAAATCATGTAATATTCTTATGCTGGCTCAAAGCATATCGTCATCTGCCAAATAATTATGCACCTATGCTTTTTACCTGACTATAGTAACATTCTTCTTTTTCAAGAAAATGTGAGCATGACATAAACTAATAAAGTAATAATTGTTTTCTTAGAATAATTGTTCTATGAGCGTGAAATGTAGTAACTGTTACTTAAAAAAATTGTGATGAGGTTAGAGTGGTGGGGTGCAGGTAAACACGACGAACTTCGACACTGTTTCAACAGGGATACAGTTAGGATTTCTGGGTTGTCTGAGTACAGTTTCTACTTTCATTGCTGAGTTCAATGCAATGAGAGAAAGCAAGCACACTTGGAGAGCTTATGCTTATGCCTTAATTACCACGGGGGTTTCATTTGGTTTTGGGATTCTGATTTACAATGTACCTGCTTGGACAAAAGGATTTACATAGAATTTGAGGCCAGCTATCAATGCTTCTACGGGCTGATTACACTTGGAGTCTTGGATGTCAGAGTTGATGCAAAGGGGAAATTTTCTTTGTTGGAACAAACGAACAACTGCCATGACAAGTTCTGGCTGTTCATCAGCATTGTCTCTTAAGCCTGATGCCATACTCAACTGGTACTACAGATCATGATATACATCAACGTTCTTTGCTTTAGGCCCGATACCTTGATTAGTACCACCGGAGTACATGTTATGTAGGCTCCATTGCTGCTCTGAAGCTCTGGCTTTATGAGTTTCTTACCAGATGGAGCCAGTTATCTCTCTTCTTTTTCTTTTTTTTGTTGGGAATATTCGTATATCCCTCTCTCAGTAGCCTTAAATCTGGTAAAGGAGGAGATGAAGAGGGTAAAAGCAAAGAAAAGAAATTGTTGATCAACTTTTCTTTTGTCCTTTTGTGGATTCAACCTGTGCCATTAACTAAACCAAATTCACCGACTACTGTCTATCAACCCCTCTTTTTTTGGCCAAAAATTACTGACTAATGAGTGCATTTTCTTTTCTTTTTCCTTAATATGTGAAAGTGAATGCACCTACCGCCACCCAAATTCAATTTTTTAATATAAATTATAAAACAGTATAAGAAGAAAAATATTATAAATAAAAAATTAAAAAAATTGACAATATTAACAATTGTTCTCGATTGTTTTCAAATGTAAAACCACATGAATTACATTACTAATTAATATTAAATTATAAGAATTTGATCACAATATTTATGTTATAGTAGTGAGAATAATTGGATACTTTGACGGAAGATAGAACTACGACAACTTATTCCAAACATAGAATGAAACTTAAACAAAATACTGCAATTATTTCCCTGCACTGCCCTGGAAGCTTCAGCCGCATTTGCTGTGAAAGATGCTTACTGGGGAATCTTATTGAGCTTGCAGTAACAGTATTCACTGTACTTCTTGGTTTTGTATTTGGGTGGATTTGCTTCATTAACGAGCTTAGGGTGAGGCCCTACTTCTAAGTCTGATGGTGGCTCCAAGAACACAGGCCATGAAATCCTTGTTTGCTCTTTGTTCACTGTGGTTCTGTGAAGTACACTCCTATACATGCCATTGCTCGCAATCTGCACAACCAAAGTAAAAAGCAAATTCAGTGGTCGGGGATGATTTTTAAGATTTGACTAGAATTATGCACTGTTTTTTTTTAAAATAATCACATTAATTAATTCTTAATAATATCTCATTTAAATTGTATGGACCAACCGTTTGGTGCAAGTATCAGCAATATGACTTAGTTGTAATGAATTTTTTTTTTTATTAAAGGGTGATTGACTTCTCTCCCTCCTGATTCTCGTGAGTAAGAAGTGGATTCGCCTGCCTCCTTTCTCCGTCCAAAGGCGGATCTACGTATTATTCTTTAATTATTATTATTGCCTCCTACCTTATAGTCTGTCTTTCACGTTCTATTGATGTGACATTCCCTTTTGTTTCTGTTCCATCAACAGTCTAAATAAATGCAATTACAATGAAACCAAATGCCATATAACTATTTTAACTTGTACATTATATTTGTCTAATAAACCACATGATTAAAATTATTGACTTAATAGGATCTCACACTATCTCAAGGCAGCAATTTTTTAATTATTTAAATCATATTTTCATTAAAAAATTTTAAAAAATTATGTAAAAAATATTATTTAATTAGTTATGCCTTCTCCATAAATTCTTTTTGACTAATCATAAGAATTCTAAATCCGTTATAATTAATATAAAAATTTATCCATATATGCTTGTACACGGGGAAGACACATCTATGTATGTATGTATTATGAATTGAAAGAGTAAGGTTGAAAAATTACTAAAACATACCTCGACTTGATCACCAATGTGAATAATGAGGGCGTTAGGGATGTATTTGACATCATACCAATGGCCATCTCTATTAGCTTGGAGGCCCTGCACGTCATTGGGAACCAGTATGGTGAGGGAGGACATGTCGGTGTGAGACGGCACTCCGAGAGCCAGGTCGGGCCGTGGGCACGGCGGATAGTAGTTGATCTTGAGAAGGTAGACCAAGTTCTCACCGCCCACGGCCTCCTTCAACTCATGCCCTTCCAGCCCTAAGCCTACTGAAAGGCATCCAAACAGCTTGTCTACCACCCCATGCATGTGCTTTGTGTATTCTTCGTTTGCCTCTCTGCCATTAATAGAGGAGCCAGAAAATGTAAAGATCCCATATATGCCATTTGTTTATACACAAAGAACGGTTTATGATGTTGATATTGAAATTTAAAATTGAACCCTTTTTTTTAAATTTTAATTAATAAATTGCATTAAAAATTCTTTTTTAGAAGAAAACAAAAGAAATAGGAAAAAAAAAAGGATAAGAATCATGTCATTTCGTTTTCTACATAGTTATCTTGTCTACCATCATCCAGCAGAGCAACTATTTCCCATGCACTGAGATTAGACCTCATTGTTTTGTTTTTTTTTTTTAACAATTAGTGGAGAATAAAAAACATATTGTTAAAATTAGTTTTTTATTAAATATTTAATTTATTAATCTGTACATAATTTTTTTAAACAAAATAAGATTTGAATTTCATTTTAGTTGATACATAATCTCTTTATTTAAAAAATAAGAATAAAATTTAAAAATATTTTTTTAAATAAAAAATACTTACTACAAATAATATGTATATAAAATCTGCTTGAATTAATAGAAAATATTGATAAGAAAGTTGTTGGACAAAGAAATGAAATATACTATAATCTACATTCATGGATTTCATTGTCTTATCTAATTAGTCGGTCCCTACTGTGCCGTTCAAGTCCCTAGCAAAATTGATTGCCCTGCGGAGATAAAGTTATTAAATGCCAAAAATAGTCAGGAAAGAAAACGGAAATGCCAAAGGGAAACGAAAGAAAAGAAACTATATGTTTAATAATATAACGCCATGCATGCGCAAAGGAAGATACATGTGGATTACCAGACCTGTAAGAAGGCGGATTTTTAGGCCAAAACTGATAGTTAATTTCACGAGGAGGCCATATCCTATGGAACAGATGATCAACCCAAGCTTTCTTCCCTTGCAGTTCTTTTTGAAGCTGAGTTCCATACCCTTCGATGCTTTGAGATCCAGGAGGCTTGGCGTAAAGCTCCTTTTCTTCTTGCGGGAGCTCAAAAAAACCCTTGCCAACCTCTTGCAGCTTCCTTATGACCTCATCAGGGATGCCATGATTCACAACCTGGAATATTCCCCAATTACGGCTCGCGTCTATAATGGCTTCGAGCATCTTTTTTTCATCAGGGTCGCTGAGATCGATGACCGGGACGTCCAGCACGGTCCCCGGAACCGTTGTGAGCCCTGGCTGCTCATTCGTCGACCTAATGAACTCTTCCGGGATTGTTTCTGTGGAAAAATTAGCAATGCCTTGCACTCTCTCCCCCTCCATTTTCTTTCTTCCCTTGTGTTTTTTTGCTCTCTCTCCCCCTGCTCTAATTTTGCCAGATGTTTAAACAGTTCGATCAATTTGCGTCGTTCGCTATTTATAGGAGTTGAGATAGGACGGGACAAAACCTACTGTTACGCCATAAAGATATAGAATTAGTGGCTTTAATTAATTTGTTTTGCTGGTGGTCCTTGAATTAAATCTATCTCCGGTTTTTTTTTTTTTATGATTTTCATGTTATTTTAGGGTAAACCCACGCCCCAATTAAGATTGCCCTTCATTTTATATAAGACTATTAACCAGCCGATTACATCTCAAAAGTTTAAACAGAAGCTCTTCTTTTCCCTCAGAAGTTTTAACTCACGACTGCCTTATTGGATATTTTTAACAATAATAGTGTGAGATATTATTTCATATGAAAAAAAATTAAAATATATGATTGTAGCAAATGTTATTTTAAAAATTAAAATATTTTTAAAGAAAAATGATATAACTTTATTACAATTACACTACATTAAAAAAGTGTTAAAAAAAATTTAAAGCTTAATTATGATAAGAAGTTGATCAATTGCAATTGCAAGAGTGATTGATTGTAAGGGCGGAGCTTAATAGGATTATGGAGACCGTGGTCCCTAAAAAATTTAAAATTTTTTTTATATATATTTTTTAATACTCTTCAAAATAATTTTTTGTTTAATAATTAATATAAATATTTTTATTTATTATATATTGTTTTCTTTTCTCTTTTTCTTTATTATTCTTATTATTAGTTTATGTTTTTCATTCTTATTCTATTTGCTCATGTGTTCATAGTTTCTATAAATTTTTCTTTTCTAAATTTCTATGAACCATTATTCATGTTCTTTTTCTTCTTTTTTTTTGTTATGTCAGTTTTGTCTTTTACTTGTTATATTCTTCTTTTTCTGTTTTGTGGATTTTATTTTTTATAATTTTAATCTTTAAAAATTAAAAAATTATTATGTAATTTTCAAATATAAATTATAGTATTGTGCGATTAGCTATTACTTAAAATTTCATTAATATATCATTTTTTATTAATCCTAATTGATAGATTAATTTCTCTTGTTTTGACTTTTTCAGTTTTTATAGTAACTATAGTGAGAATTTTTTCAGCAATGAAAATTATGAAACTAAGACTTCAAAACAAAATGTATAATTTGTAAATAATTTTGTTTTTTATATTGAAATACACATTACTAGCCTTTTTAGTATAGAGTTAATAATTGATGAATTAGAATTCAGGAAATATTGTCGAGCATAATTTTTTCTAAAACATTATTATAGGTTTTTTTCTTTTATTATTCCTTTCGATTTCCTTGTTATATAACATTATTATCTATTATGAATCTTTTGATTATTGGTTAAGTTCAATATATTAGTTTTGAAAATTTTTAGCTCTTATTTCTCTTTGTCATTAGCCCCTTAACAAAATTTGGCTAGTTTCGCCCTGATTGATTGCCTAATGTATGCAATGACGTATACAAGGTTAATATAACATACAAATGATGTATATTATCGTAAGAAAATGATGAGTAATTTACTCTTAATAGGTCCATAATATAATTTTGTTATAGTGTTATAGTTACAATGGCACTTTTGATAGGATTTATTTATGTGAGTGTAGAGTGTGACTGTTTATAAGAGCTTGACTCTAATAACATTCATAAAAAGAGGATATAGACACGTGGTCATAAAAATGTCATTGGATATTATGCATTCATTAGATGTTGAAATCATTGTGTTAAATATGTTTGGTTAACTAAATGAAATAATTGGTTTAAAACATAGTCTAGCATGCAATTTTGATTAAATTTAACTTTTTTTTAAGTAAAGGTTCAATTAGAAAACACTTATATATATGTAATCGATTTTCAAGATTATAAAAAATTTGAATTAGTTTGAAAATTGTGAGAGATTGTTAGACAATTTTAATATTAATATGTGAGACACAATCTCATGTTGAAGAAAATGAAAGGAAGAAAATCCTTTGAATAGTTATGTTTGTTC